ATAAATATATATTTGACAAACTTACATAATGCCTGTAGTATTGAAGCCTAATCGATATGCAATTTGATTGCTTCACTGAGCGTATTTGCTCTCCGACAATGTGATCGAAAACACAAACATTTCTATTTAGCATGCTGCTACTCTACATCCACGACATAACAAATATTTGTTTTCCTAGCTGCAATTAATATCGCGTAATTGTAGAGACTCATCGCGATTGCGCGCAAAGTGCGCGATAACTTTGCACGCGTCGGCATAGAAAATCTCCTTCCAGAAGAACGTTTATCGTTAGGATGCAAATGGGGCAGCGAAACTTTCAAAGTCTCTCGACAAGCGAACAATAACGCTGTCCTGAGATAGTTCGCCTGTAACTGCAAACAGTTACGGGAACTCGCGCGATTCAACGTACGGCACGACACAACGGCGGCGTTTTCACGAGGTCCGCGTGCGAAATAGCGGCGCGATAAAAACGCGCGCGGACATTCTTGCATTTACAATGGCTGGCAAGAAATGCAGCGAGGAGTTCTCTCCGCTTGATTAAATGCAAATCTCACCGTTATTACGGTGCCCGGGCGCGGAAGGCAACGCTGTCGCCATTCAATTAACAGCCGTAAGATTATTTAGTCTTAAATTAATAAATAATAATTAATGCGCGGCGGCTTTGTGCGAACTGCTGCCGCCCTTGTTGAAGCTCGTTGTAAGACGCGCGATCGATAGATTTCGTCCCTTCCCGACGACAGAATCTTAATCTTTAGGATGATACATTCATAGCGAGTTACAAAGAAATATTTATGGCATCGTTAAACTTTATCGACTTACCGCGAATTGTTTTGGGTATTATCTTCGACAAGCATTAACGGATCGTTAAACTTTAACGACCCGCTAGTACTGGTGCACGGAAAGTCAAATGTTCAATCCTCGCTTTGCAGGAAATTCGAGTTTGGAACACTTGAGGAGTACCATCATTTAACTTAGTCGCTTGTTCGAGATTATACTTATTATATACATTTGTTGCTAATATCAAATATCTTCACTGAAGCATAATGAGTTTCAGATGTTTCATTATTATTAACTGAAAAATTATTAATATGTCACGTACATCTGCCTTATAATATCTAAATGTTTCAAATACATTTCGTCAAAGTTTATTAGAATTTCTTTCCTTATTTCTTATCTTAATAAAAACATTTAATTATTTAGTTAATCAATTTTGTTGTCTTTTACATGTTAAACTTATTGTTTCAATAACACTATTGCAAGTCATATTTTGTCAAATTTTGGAAACATCATTTCTGAATTCTCAGTAACACAAATTAAATCAATTTCTAGACTTATTTGAATTTACTTTTATTGCAATTTCTAAGCAAATTTTAGTTTTACGGAGGTATCCCACGAGCAATCCTATCGAAACGGTAATTTTGAATAGTTCGCATAGTTCAGCAAGAAGTGTTTCTTCCTCTGGTACAGTTTGCAAATACGAACCACCTCGGAGTCGGTTATTGTTTGTTCTTGGATACTCTGGGCGTCAAGACCGTTTGTGAATTCGTTTGCATTGTCTCAACCTTGTTACTCGTTTGATGAAAGGAAATGTACGTCTCTAGGTTCATTAACACTTTGTGCAGCGCGGACGATAATGAAGTGTGTCTTGATGGAATAATTATCTTTGTGTGTAAATGGTATAGGAACATTCGTCTATTTCTCTTCATTTCGCGACAATTTATTGTTCTTTCGTGTTCTCTCGATATCCGTACGGTCTTTCTTATGTGCGTACATTTGTAAAAACACGCGACAAAAACATACGAACAATTTAAAGGGAATAATTACGCGTTAATTTCTGAAAATTCATTTCTCAGTTGATCTATGCCAATTATATTTTCTGACTTGTGTCAAACTGCGTGATTTCTAGAATATTGTACATCGGGCCTCCAAGCAAATTCGATTTATACGTAAATGTTCGCATAATTATGGGTGTTTATCCGGTTTAGCATACGTATCAGCGTGATATCAATATGTACATTAAATCCATTAAAGTTGCGTAATGAACAATTGAGGTTTAATGTTTATTTTGCACTGCATATTCGCATATTATTGCATTATAGGGCGTATAATACGATCGCATCCATCGCGTACGGATGCGCGTTATACATTATTAATATCATTCGTTCAATTTTGATCGTGCCATCATCCGCGAATTTTGTAGTGTTTGAGCAAAATTGTTAACACGCCACTTAATCAGCCATTCTCCAATCATAACAAAATATCTTCCATCTGTTAACTGATATAAGTTAATGTTCGTAATGTATAACAACGCGTTACACTGTTTTCACAAATTAATATTATTAATTTCCATAATATTGTAAATATAATATCGCCAATTAATCTATTTTAATGTTTTAACGTTAATTTTCCTGTGTATATAGAGTTCTATATAATAAAAATTATTTTATTCTCTTTTAAGTAGGTTTATAATTAAATAAAGATTATAAAAATAGTTCAGAATTCGTTGATTCGTTTTGATAAAAGATTATTGCTTTTAAGAAGCTTTGCATGTGACGATCAATTTTTCAATGTTTCCTGAATTGTACACAACAGTTTGCAATCTCAACAAGATAGCACATAACATCGTTATCAAGGAGTTTTATTATTTTGAAATGGGATAGTCACCCTCTTACTTTAACGCATCATTGAACACCCCCCTGACTATCGTAACAAGAGAGATGGCCGTTAAAGTCGTCTTCACTCGCTCCTGAAATTCCCAAGAGTGCACGTACTATTGTTCATCCGTGTATTTATATATAAGATGATCCAAATTCAATTCCTTTTTTCTTAAAAAAATTTCTTTTTTTTACTTATTAAAATTATTTCTTAATTTAATTTTATAATTATTTAATTTACCTTTTTCTTCTAATTCACGATATTTAAAACCAAGAAAAAATATCACAGTACCTCAGGAAAAGTGAAAATATTTGCTTTGAGCATATTAAAAGCGATCAAATTGTTTTTTAAATATTTTATAATAGAATAGCTTTTTTGTATGTATTTTTAGACCATTCAGTTGCTTCCTGTAGTCCAGAAGACCTGTATGTAACCTCGATAATTGAGATGAAACATCCGATATGTATGAGCATGTGTATGTCTTCGATGATCGTCTTGATCGCACGAGAGCTGTCTTTAATTGGCCAGACCGAAGGGCCTGAGAACAGTAGAAGAAGCAAGTGCGGGCTAGGGATTGCGAGGGTGGTTACCCCCGACTGCACGTTCTCAGTGCTGGTAAATGAACCGATCAAGCGTACCCGGCCAAGTGGTTGCAGAGAGTATCAGGTCAGACCACCAGCCACTCAATAATATACATGTCGCATATAGCATGTATGTATATAGCCGGTGTAAACGTCTCGAAATAGGTATGCTGCTATTACATTGGCGAATGCAGATAGCTGAAGCAAAGATCAAAGAATAAATGCAACTTGAATTAAATAAATCGATAAACGTGAATAGAGACTAACGTTGACGTTGAGTCTTTTAGTCGACTCTGCATGCTCTGTAAATGATGTTACATAATACATTACATTTTGCCATCATTCTATTATATTTTCCGATGTTTTTCTGAAAGACACGCCATGCGAATATCGAATATATACGTAATATATAGGTGAAACTAATTTTTGTACATTTTATACATTGAATATTTTACGTAATAGGTACAAAAGCGTTTTTATACGTCAGAAAGTAATGTCAAACGTTTAACGTAAAGTAATATTTAAAATTAAATATCTCCCTTTTAATTAATAATAATTGATTTAAAAAGAAAAGTTGGCAAAAGTTGGTCGCATTTCTCTTACTGTAGCGAGGCTTGTAGGCGGAACAGAGTTGGCTTGATTGTAAAATGGATCGGAAGTGATCCGTTTAATCGAGCCCTTCCCATCGCATGTACCATCTGAAATAGTTCGAATGGCTTAGGCTTAATCGTGTATCTGCACCCTGCCAAAGTGATACGTACTGTTGAAGGAATTCCGATACAATGCTACAAGGGTTAGCATTTGATTGCGCGAATCGGCTTTGCATTTTCATTAAGCATAATGGATTGTAGCGATACCAGATCCTGTCATTTTAATCGATTAGTCCCTTTTTGCGCGACGTTACAGATATACTCCGGTTCTGTTAACAGAAAGCGAGCTCTCGAAACG